GGCAGTCTTAATTCTGGCTTGGGATTCCTCCAGTCCGGCCTTTCCCTGCTGTAGTACAAAGCAATTGAGGGTGGCTTGTTCTCAAGTAGGTCATTAAGAGCTGTTGACTTTACAGATGACCTGCCCCTCATTTATTGGCATGAGCCCATCCAGCTGCTTGGCCTTCCCTGACTGACTACACAGACTGTTAATGATGAGCCCTTGTGCTTTCAAATGTACCATTATATCACTGGCTGTTTCATCTGCCATCCAGCACATTTGAAAAACTAGGATGACGGGTTTCACTTATTTATCAGTGCCATTCTAGTTTATGCCTTGGTATATCTGCACTAAAAAGGAGGAGGAGGAGGAGAATTTGGGCCTTTAGGCTTTTCATTCCAAAAAGAAAAAAGAAAAAGAAAAAAAACTGTTGCTTTGATGACTGCCTTGGCCGCAACACGAATCTCTTTATGCCTCGCACGTCCCTCCAGTCCTCCGATTAGCCAAGCCTAACCTTTACAAATCAGGGCACGTTTCCCCCCACCTTGCCACCCACCAGCTGGCTGCTGACCCTTGTCTTCTTGCAGGTACATCATTCTCTAATCGCCCACTTCATTTCAAGTGGCCAAAAGACTCCTCCGCCCTGGCCCGTCTTGTTCCCTTGAAGAGGACGAAGGATCTCAATTTTTTTTTCCTCCTCCTCCTTCATCTCCGCCTCCACCTCCTCCTTTTCTTTTCTTTTCACGCCCAATCGATCCTTGCTCTCCTGCGTTCTGCTCACTGGTGCCACAGCCTGGTTCAGCATTTTGCAAATCCCACGGTCTCCGAGGCGAGGGGTTTGTGGTGGCAGGAGGAGCGGGTGGCTTCTGGAACAGCCGGTGTGAAGGCCCCGAGGCCTTCTGCTTCGGCATGAAGAAAGGAGAAGGCAAAAAAATAATAATAATAAAGAACCTAGCTGCTCTCAACATTAAGATTTATTTTCTCACTGACAGATGTTCTGTTCCTTTAACAACTACACGTAGCAGAAAACTAAAACATAAGCAGGGCTCACACACAGACACACACAAGCACTGCAAAGATGTGATGCCTTGTACAGAAAACAGCTCCTCTCGAGCTGGCTTTCTGTGCCGCTGATAAGAAAGACAAGAGTCTCTCCTGCCAAGGTAAACAAGGAGCTTGGCTGGAAATACAAAATCTGCATAGGGGAGGACGGATAATGGTGTATTGTATGCCTGCGCACCATCACAATCGCACACACACATATATTGTGCTGCATAGACTGGACTGTTGACCCACATTCAAAAAGGAAAATGATGGTGAATGGAAGATCTATCTACAGCGGAGGCTGAGGATTCAAATTGCAGGGGGGCTGATGAATTGGCTCTGGGTATTAGTCCCAGCTCCACGGGAGGAATCCACGGCAGCCGATTCTAAACCTACAATCATTTTGTCACTTCGGGTCCTTTAAAATCTAGACTTAAACCCAGAACAGATCTGGGAAAATGGGGCCTCTCTATCGCCTGCTGTGAGCTACAGAAGGAGGAGAGTCCTTTAAAATCTAGACTTAAACCCAGAAAAGATCTGGGAAAATGGGGCCTCTCTATCAGCTGCTTGGCTACATCTGTGAGCTACAGAAGGAGGAGCTCGCAGCCCAACCTTTCCTTGGCCCTCCAGATGTTCTTGGACATCAACTCCCAGAAGACTTCACCACCACTTCTCCTGGCCAGGATTTCTGGGAGGTGAAGTCCAAGAACATCTGGAGGGCCAAGGTTGGACACCACTGCAGGCTTTGCATCTCCATCTCCTGCTGAAAAGGAGCTCATCTCTAACTCCCAGCCCCTCCCAGGAGTTGAGAGCAGAAGGGAAGTACACACCACCCTCTGCCATTGATCAAGGATCACTAGTGCTGTTTTGAACTGTAGACATTTGTCACAACAGTCCACTGACCATCTTCTCCCTTCATGAAGAGTCCCCCAAATGCAGGCTGATCTGTGTGTTGATCTGTGTGTCTCCATGTATGTGACTGTCAAGAGCAATACTTAGCATATAAACCTGTTTGTTACTATCAGTGGCACAAGACAGCAGAGGGGCTAGCTAGGTTGGGAATTCAGCTAGAAGGGCCTCAGCTTACATGAGAAAAAGAAACACACAACATGTCACTAAACAATCTAGGAACCACTAGCTCAAGAACGGTTCCATCTCCAAATCAACCAATCCATTTTAGCATTGTTGTCCCCACCAGGAGGAGGTCTTTTGTAAAGTTAATGGGTCCTGTTTGCTGGTTCAAGACCAAGGCACTTCCAAATAGGCTATCTTCCAACAATGAGCACTCACTACCTACAAGTCTGTTCTCTGGCTCAAGGTTTCCAACTCCTAGTTCACTTTAAAATGTTGTCCGGAGTCCAAATTACCTGATATTTTAGTCTGGCAAGGGGGAAAAAGCCTAATGCTGAGCTTATGATTAAAGAAGACGAGTAGCTATTCTTGTGACACATAATTTAGATAAAAGAAAAACTTACTGTTTATTACATAAGAAGATCTATAGATAATGCAGGTCAAGCAGGCTGTCGGACTTCCATACAGAGGTTCCGAGAAGTTATTTCCAGATTCTGCTTTCAGCCTTTATGGATGCCTGCGTGTTGCTGCCTCTCTCTGCCTAGGAAGCAACAAAGAAAAAAGGACTTCAGAGATGAAGAAGGAAGGAAAAGGGCTTAAGAGTGCCAATCTGTATGTAAAGACCAGAAGGGGCAGCCATGCTGGGTGTTTATCTTTCCCCATTCATGCTTAGATCCCCTTCCTGCATGCACTGATATACTGTTAAAAACAAATTCAAAAAATCAGGTAGAAATTTGGCTTCTGATTTGAGATCATGCTAGAAAGTTCTGTATAGGAACAATTTAAATTTCCCACCATGCACTGAAGTAAGACTGTCCTGGAGCACCTGGGAAATCCAAAAAAAAAAAAAAATCCAAAAAAAAAAGTAATGGCAGGCTTCCTATTGATGATTCATGCGTGTGTAGTTGAAATGACTGTAACATAGTCAGGAATGTGACTGTGTTAATTAATAAGCAGCAAACTTGGAGCTGTGACTTATTGATTTCACTCACACACATATAGGCTGCAACTATATGGTCAAATATAATACGATTTTCTCTGCTTATAAAACAGGTGAATTCAAAGTATTTTTTTTACTGACCACGTGAAGTAAAGGCTGATTTTTGCTCACAAAGTGTTTTCCCCCTCTCTCTCCTGCTGGGGGGCTTCTATATTTTCAAGCCAGAATTATTCAAATAGGCTTTCTCCTGTGTGTTTAGTTGTGATGCATTCTTGTAAAGATGGGGGTGTGTGTGCAGGTGTTGTTCAGTGATGTTGGCAGTTCAGGAGTGGAGAAACATGCCCCGCTTCTCTCCTCTCACCTAATAAAATAAAATAATCTTACATATATGAGATTAGCGCTAGATCACCCTATCACTTTATCATTGGGTCATCATCATTATTATTTCCCGCATTTATGCTCCTGTCAGTTCCCCATTAGAACAGCAGAGGTGGGACTAGAGGAAGGAACGAAAGAAGCATAGGATGTGTTGGAATGCAAACTGCAACCCATCCAGTATGAATGGTGAACTGCAGCCCATTTGTGAGCACTGACTGCAATTTCAAATCAAACTGCAGCCTGTATTTAAAACAAAAATCACCAGTAGGATTCTCAAAACTAGTTCAGTATTATTCTAGTTACGTTCTTAGAATGGAGGATTTCCCCACTTTCCAATAAGTAGATAAACATTTTTAATAAAGCTATATAGTTGTGATTGGGTTCATTAAAAGTCGGGAGCAGTTCCTCTTTTTTTTGGCGAGAAAAGACGACTGAGTTTCTTTTTGAACATTAACACATTTATTCAGTTTGACATTATGTGAATCTACTACAACTTCTAACGGTTCAAAATAACTGAGATCGATTTGGGGAGATGATAACTCTGTCTGTAAATTAACAAGATTCATCGAGGGGCTGGTCCAAAATGTGCCCGATCTCGGCTTCCTCTCCGGACCACACATATTGTCCCACAACATGGGTGTCTGGCCCAATCTCCTTCCAGAGGTGGATGGTTGAAGGAAGGGTCCATCCGAATCACCTTCCTTGAGTGACCCTCTCCTCGCGGGAAAACCACAACCGTCCATTTTAGGGCTTCAACCAAGGTCTTCTCTTCTTTAGAATTTTCCGGATCAGGTAACAACCCTCCCACCTTCAAATTCGGAAAGTCCTCTAACAACCTGCACGTTCTCTCATACACTATTTTTCTTCTCCCCCTCTCTTCCCGTCTCCTCTCACTTTTTTCTTCTATCTCTTCCTCTCACACGGGTAGAATTAATCCCTTCCCCTCTTCTCCCTCTCTCTCTCTCTTCCACTAGACATATTTCAATCTTCTCCTCTTTCTCCGTTGATCCCTCTTTCTTTCCTTCCATTATTTTCAACTCCTTATTTTCTTTTGTCTTCCCTACTACTATAACTTTCTCCTGTTCTGACGTCTCTAGCTGAGGGGACGGCTCACTCTACTCTTTCCCCTTTGGATCTACTTCTCCTTCACAATAAAGATAAAGGTTTCCCTTGACAATTTTTGTCCAGTCGTGTTCGACTCTAGGGGGCGGTGCTCATCCCCATTTCCAAGCCATAGAGCCAGCGTTTTGTCCGAAGACAATCTTCCGTGGTCACATGGCCAGTGCGACTTAGACATGGAACGCTGTTACCTTCCCACCGAGGTGGTCCCTATTTATCTACTTGCATTTGCATGCTTTCGAACTGTTAGGTTGGCGGGAACTGGGACAAGCGACGGGAGCTCACTCCGTCGCGTGGATTCGATCTTACGACTGCTTGGTCTTCTGACCCTGCAGCACAGAGGCTTCTGCGGTTTAGCCCGCAGCGCCACCACGTCCCTACTCCTTCACAATAGTCCTTATGTATTTGCTTCTTTCTTTTGGACTATGGAAGTTACATTTCTATCCCTTTTTTCAAAAACAGCCAATGCTACATATTGTGGGTCAGTCATAAGGTGAAAGGGCGAGGCAGTGCTTATATCATATGATATTCCCTCACTATCATTAAATAAGGCCGTACGCCCATAACTATGAATGTAAATTTAAAAAATTACCGTTATGACATATTCTATTACTTTAACTAGTTGTGAATTGCCTAAAATCCCCTAAGAAGAGAAAAGAGGAAAATAAAATAAAATAAAATAAAAGACATGAAAGTATCACACGTTAAGTTACAAACATAATGTAGCATAACTGCTGGATAGCATCTGGCTGTGGGATCCAGAAGTTGGGAGTTCGATTCCCCATTGCTGCTCCCTGACAGGGGCTGGACCTCAGTGGTCCATAGGGTCCCTTCCAGCCCTGTACTTCTAAGATGATAATTATTCTAAGATGTTGATGATTTTCTAAGATGATGATTCAAAAATACAAGACACTGGTATTATATAACACATACAAGTTTAGCCAAAAACCTAAGCGTGTTGTTGCTGCTGCTATTCAAAAACACCAGGCACAGTCAACCAAAATTATAAAAACATTGACTGATATTATATAACAGACACTAGTTTTAACCAAAAACCTAAGTATCTGTTAAATATTGGTACACTGTGTATGCTTTTCTTAATGTGTATATTTGCTGTTCCTAATAATGTGTGTGGTGTCATGGTGGTGGTAGTGGTGATATATAATCAGTTGTTGTTATAGTTTGTTATATTATTGTATATAAATATAAATATTGTTATAGTTCCACCTCCACTATTCAGAAAAGGAATTAAATGGAAGGAATTCATTAATTTTAGCCGTACACTTCTTCATAGTGAAGGCCCTTGACAGGATATTTCCAGAGCGCCAAGCTGCCAAAAGCAGCTGCTTCTGCTGGGCAGGGGGAAATTTAAAGTGTGGGACCAAGGATTATGTCAGCAGCATTCCCCAAAAAAAGGTTAAAAAAATGTCCCAGTCCTTATGTAAGGACAGGTTTTTCTTCATTCGAACCACCTCCAAGAATCCCCTGCCTGCCAGGGTGACATCTTGGATTCGGCAGGCCAATTGGTCTCTTCACAGTCGAGGCCAAAATATATAATAAATGGGAACCTACTTTTAACTTTAAAAACAAGCAGTCATATTTATCATTCCTGAACAGAAAGCTTACACGTCGCCCGGACGTTTGCCCTCCTGTGAGAGCTTCAATTGGCGCTCAAGCCCTGCCTTTGCGGGAGATAAAAGGCCTGAAGCCACCACGCCAGTTCCCATGGCAACCGCTCCATCGTGATGCTCGGCGGATGGACCCGGCCTGCCAAGGCCTCACTCCATGTGCGGGGAAAAGTCAGGAAGAGACCAAAGAGAACCAGAGGGACGATAGAGGAGTTTCCAAAGACTGTGACCGGCTGAGGGGGAAAAAAAATTCCAAGTCCCTTCAAAATGTGGGAGCAAGGCGGAGGGGGAGAGAAAAGAGACAGGAAGATGTTATCCTGGCAAGCTTGCCCTGTGCAGAACACTGGAAAGAGCTGGTGGGGCCGGCCCTGCTATTAGACGGAGTGAGGCAGCAGGATTTTGGGTGTATAACAGCCCAGCAAATCAATCAAAATACAGCATATTATTGCATTTCGATTGCCTAGAAAGGAGAAAACACTTGTGGGAACCACACGGTCAATACTTAGATTTCAATTTCACCTATTTGTGTTGCCCTTTTGTGTTTTTCTTTTTAAAGTTTTTTTCCTCTGCTATCTTTTTATATATTTTTTGCTTTGGATACAGTTTGGTGTCTAAAAAATAATAATAAAATGATTTTTTTTTTAAATGGACACACCTGATTGGCAGCTTTCTCTGTTTTGGGTTTCTATTGTGCTCTGTCTCATGTGCCAAAAAATAAGCTGCTGTTTCTTGTTACTATTATTTATTTATTATTTATTTATTTAACTTATATGCCACCCACTCTACCCAAAGGTCTCTGGGCGGCTTACAACAAATAAAATTCAACTAAAATACAATAAAAGATAAAATGATTAAAATACAATTTGACCTGGGTTAGTGTGAAACTGAACCAGTTTCCAATTTTTTTTTTTAATTTGGCCTGGAACGGTCAGGCACCGCGGATTCTGGGAGTTGTAGTTTAAGAATGTAATTGTTGCCAAGCTCAGATTTAGCCCACTTTGTTGGTCTTCACTTCAAATAGTGCTGAGGAGTTTAATTTAAACAGAAATGTTGATGAGTAGGAAACATCCTCTCTTAGACTAAGAAAAGCGGGAAAAATCCTATGTTGGGCAGACATTCATAGCATACACTGTCAGCTTCCATGGCCATGACGTCCTCCATGTTAGCTTCATGTCATGCTAGTTATATAAGCAATGTACTCTATGCCTTATAATAACCAGGAGTAGATAAATCCGTATGTTTTTCCCTCTCCTGTGTTTACATTTCAAGTTCTCCTTTCTCCCATGTTCAATTTAAAAAAGAAATCATTCACTGCATATGCTTTCATTTAGTTTGTGCTCACAAGTACAAACTTTTCAAATATTTTCTCTCCTTTGGGCAAGTTTATGAAAGTTTTGGGGCATTTTTCACATCCATGCCCCCTTTTTTGCAAAAAAAAAAAATATGGAAATGCAGAAAATTTTGTGTTTTGCCCAAAGTACAAGTTTTTCAAAAATCATGCAATCTTATCCTCCCAAAAAAAACCACTACTGTTTTTTTTCCTTAGAATGCTGTTGCTCCTTTCTTTATATTGAAATTTTCTAAAGGCCAAAAAAAATTGCATGGAGAACAAAAAAGATCAGTGTAATCTTTTAACTTATCTGTGAATTATGGTTGATTTGTTTTGATCAGAACAAAATTTGCATGTACCTGCAATTCATTCACTGCAGTTATTTCCAGTACAGAGGGCCATGTTTTACACCCCTGTCATGTAACGGAAAAGATTAAAAGCCTGTCGAGGGGTGGGGGGATTAGTAACTCTGTTTTAATACTTGAAATGTGGCTGAATCACAAGAATTCAATTTCTAGTCCAGACTTTCAAAAGCTCTAAATTCAAAAGCACTTCCAGTCTCATGGATGAATCTGTTTTGATTCTCTCCCCCCTCCTTATTTAAAGACAGATTTTTTTTTCCATTGAATTTATGAAGGATGTTATAAAACACAAACCAAAGAAAAATATCACCTGGTACTAGAGATGTCGGTCAACAGGATGGCCTTTAGACTATGGGATTGGAATACAATGTTCTGTTCTGCATGCCTCATTTCCAAGATAATTTTCAGCAGTGTACAGGTACAGAAATTCAAATATACTACAAAACACTCAGAGACACATAAAACCTTCAGCTGGATTTATAACATAGGACTTCTGCCTGAAAAAGAAAGTTCTTAATTATGATGGGAACAGTAGCCCTCTCCCAAAAAAAACCTCCAAAATTAAGACCTGTACGAAAATGCACTTAACAAAGAACTATATTAGAAGAGGCAGTTTTTGTCTGCAAGGGGAGGGGCATGTCATATTTTCTAAATGGAAAATGTTCTATTTTTTATGACCTTTCTTGTTCCCAGCAAAAGCAGGGGACATTCACGCTGAAATTCCATGCCTGTCTTGCTGTGATGTGTGTAACTTTTTTCCCCATTGCATCTTTAGGCCACAAACAGAAAACTTGGTTATATGACGTCAAGCTTCACCCCATTTTTGTGAAATCTTGCAGCAATAATTGTTTTTGCCACTTTACTTAGCCTCTTGAAGGCTCAAAAGATTGACAGCATTCTGAAGTACTAGCGCTGTTATTTCCACCGGCCTTTTATGGACAGGAGATTATTCATATATGTTCCCTTGAGGTCACCAAAGAAAATGTAGACCATAAAAACAACATATTAAATCTTTCTATTTATTTTCTGATAACCTAGCACAAGGAAACGTCCGACAACAAGACTATAATTAGCTAGGCTGGTCTCACTTGGGCTTATCCTAATTCCAGCTCTGAAAGAAGATGCTTCTTGAGATAATCAGAACAGAAGTCTTTAAAGATGGGAAGGAGAGCATGTGGTCCCATCAACTCTGTTGTGTACAGTTCCCATCGTTCTTGACCATTATCCATCCTCTCTGAAGCTGTTGGAAATTAGAAATTGGACCCAACTAACATAAAGGGCCATAAGCTCTCCAGCCTAGTTTAGGGGTGTATATGACCTTAAAGAGAGCCTGATTATAAAATGATAAGCAATGCAGATGTTTTAGAACAGATGAAATGCAATCACATTCTTTGCAGTCAAGAGGCAGCCAGCGGAAGTATGAATGGGCATGTTTATCCTTCCCAAAATTGGACTAATCTACATAATATGGTGGAGCATCTCCTTACCTAATCTCCCTGTGATTCTTGCCCTTTTGGAATTTCACATCAGCGAAGGCAGTGTGTTTACCGAAACTAAGTGCAGGCACAAAGATCTACTGATGCCATCATGCTTAGCTTCCAGACTCAAACCACATCTGGTGCTTCTGGTGGCCTATCTGCCCTCATGAAAAGAAAGGTGATTGGGGTTGTTGTTTTTTTAGATCCAGGCTGGGCAAACTACAGTCGATCAATTGTTTCTGGACTCCTGCTATGCCAGCATCTCTGGTTGGCATTGCTACTCGTGAGCAAGGCTGGGAATTGTAACCCATTTACATCTGGAAAGTCACATGTTCTCCACCTTCTGCTCTCCTAGACTTCTGTGAGATTTTATTTTAAGCTGCTTTGGAAACCGCTTCATCTTACAAAATCCTAGAGGACTATGTAATTTCTCTGCATGAGAAATGCCCATAGCTCTAGTACAGCCACGACATTCACCTTTCTGCCACCTCCTTCCATGCCTTCAGGCACCCGATTCAGCACCGAGCTGAATTAATGAAGCATCGGTCCTGTTTATAGATTTTTATCAGCATTAGTAAAAAGACAGGATCAGCATCCTGTAATTTTTAAGAGCAAAGACGAATTCCACGCACAAAGCCATAGCTTGGAGATCAGAGCTCCCCTTTTTCAAACACACACAGAGGAACACCTCCTGCGAACTTTTTTAAAAATCGAAAGCTGAAAGCTGCTTTGAACCGTTAGCTTATTTCCGGGCTAGGAAGCAGGGCGATGAGGACAGGCTTCTGGCACGATTCCCCTGCGAGCAACAGCTGTCAAATTCAAGGGCAGGAGTTTCTGCGCTGTCCGTGGTACTAGCCAGATGGATTCTGAGATGGAAGCAATCCACTAGGCAGAGATATAAAATCCTAGCTCCGGGTTTTTGCTCTAACCTCCTGTAAGGATGAAGAAATCTGATGAATTATATATACGATTCCCCCCACCCTCTTTCCCCTCTTCTCTTGCCAAAGCCAAAGGGTGGGGGAATGCGGGAAAGAATCTGTTTGATGAATTGAGGGAATGGAATCCCATCTCCAGGTTTTCTCTCTCCCCTCCCCCCCCCACCCCCGATGATGCTGTACAGAAATAGCAGGATGCTGGAATCGTTCGGCAGTGATGCAGAAGGTATGTGCTTTTTCAGTTCTGGTCCTGATGCTGAGCTTGTGGTGAGGTCTCTGTGGCGCAATGGACGAGCGCGCTGGACTTCTAATCCAGAGGTTCCGGGTTCGAGTCCCGGCAGAGATGGTCTCCCAGACAGGTGTCTTAATTTTTCTCTCATCTTTGAGTAAGGAATGCTAATTAAATTATATTTCACTCCGGAGGATTTCAAAAAGAAAATGCATGGCAGCTCGTCAAAATCCCCCTGGGATATGAATTCTGTTTCCCTCTCCTCCTCTTCTAGAGATCTGTCATGAGATGTAAATGCATGCTCTCTTTTTTTCTTTCTGTTTTCTATTTTCATCTCTAAATAACAGGCTTGATTTTTTTTCCTTTTATGAATATCATCATTACATTGTTTCCTACAATAACAACCCCGTTTAGAGCTTCAAATGCTGCACTAAGGATTTTTTTCTATTGTTAAGAAAAATAAATTAGTTGGCCTTTATTTCAACTGTGGATTTTTTTTACAAGAGGCTAAAAATCTGCATATATATATTTTTAAAAAATATGTGCTTGTGATCTTGTCTTGGTTTCTCTTTCTCTCTCTCTCTCTCTCTCAAACACACAGAGAGAGAGAGAGAGTGAGAGTGTGTGTCTTAGTGTATGATAATCAGACTGTTTGGAGAGAGAGAGAGAGAGAGAGAGTGTCTTAGTGTATGATAATCAGACTGTTCATCATAATAATTTGCCGATATCCACAAATTTCACTATGCTTGGGATGTAAATAACTTGGAGTTTTCTTTTTGCTTTTAAATCACAACATAATCACCCCCCTTGATTCTATTTCATGTGTGAAAATAAGAGTTTCTTTCCAATTTGGTTGTTAAAACCTGAAGAGAAATTCATTTTGATTTGTTTTTGACACACTTAGCATAATCAAAATGAAATTCTCTTCCATTTTTGACCATTTGTCCATCCTGAGTGAAAAAATGACAGTGGGGTTTCAATCACAGCTTCTCCATATCTTTATCCAGGAGATGTTTGTGA